AGGAAGGTGGGGGTCATGCCAGGGTAAGAAGTATCCGAAAGTTTACTTCTTAACTCCATGAACTGATCTGTTCCAGGCCCTATGCTATAGTGGTTATCTTCATTTTCTGCCAGTGTCACCCTCTACAAAGCAGAGGACTTCAGTTTGCCCACCTGAAAAGCTAATGTCACCCTGAAGGTTATGATTATGTATTTAGTCTGAAAGAAGAAACAGAAGAGCCTCTTATATAACTTGAAGAGAATAAAGGAGCCAGTGACTAAAACCACTGCCTTGAACTTTTCCAAAGCACCATAAATCTCTCTGTGTTATGATTCTCCAGTTGCTGCCAAGGTATCGCTTATCTTCTTGTTTTTGTCTTAAGATAGACTAAAAACAAAAGAAAATCATAAGCCCCCTCCTGTTAGATTGGATATTTTGAGCAAAGGCTATAAAAATGCTACTATTTCAAGCTATTCCTATCATCTAAAATACGCCCATGCCTATTTTGTGGTTTCTCAGCAATGTTCTTTCTTTAATTTAATTGCTTTTTATCTTTATGGTTCCTCATTCAAAGCTGGTTTTCCCTCTATTCCTTCCCTTTTTGTGCTTCTCTCTCTCTCTTTCTCTCTCCTTATAGTTTTTGCATATTTGTATCATCTCTCTACTGACCTTTTGGTGGCTTAGCATTTTGTTGCAATGCATGCGTGAAGTTGGAAAACAGAGCCAAGTAACAAACTGCGAAGTAACAGCTCAGCCTTCACCAAGTATATGTGTTTTGTGCTATTTCTTGCCAGAGCAGATGTGGCCTTGGTGGACTGTGGGAAGCATTATCTCTCAGGTAAAAAATAAATTACCAAGATTGAGACCAAAATAATGCAAATCCTTCCATTTGCAAACAGATCATGAACTGGGAGCCATGTGGAAAGAAGACTAGACTGGGAATCCATTAGGATCCTGCCCTGGATTTAGTCCAGAATACTCTATCAATCAGCCATTTGGCCTCAGATGGGTACCTGTGGATTAAAAAAAATTGTTTTAATCAACAAGAGAATAGAATAAAATAACAAAACTCTGGATGTGTGCCCCATCCAGTTTGAGGCAAGCCTAACATTTTGACGGGTTTGCTTCAGACATAGTTAAAGTCTTTGTGGACTTCTTAATCCCATTTTCCTTTCTCCCACCCAACACAAACTCTGCCTTGGATTTGCATGTTTTCATACTTTTTCTGCATGCACATGTATCATTCAACAATATGTACTATCATTTTGCATGTTTAAAAACTTTACATAAATGGAAGCACACTTTACATACCATTCTGCAACTTGTGTTTTTTTTTAAATTTAGCATTGTATTTCACCAATTTAGCTCCAATTAACTCATTTGAACTGCTTTTTTGGTATAGTAGTTCATGAACAGACCACTTGTAAACTTGTCTATCTCCTGTTGAACTCTTAGGTTGCTTCTAATTTTGCACTATTATAAATGATGTTTCAGTGAGCATTATTGTACCTTTTTTTGTCTTAACATATAACAGCTTTCCTGAGATAGTATTTTTTTGATGTTTTGTTCACGCCCACAGTTAAAGATACACTTTACATGGAAATGCAGCACATGCATGTGCCACATTTATGAATGTGTATATACGTATATTTGGAAAAAAGTATCTCAGAATAATACTAACCCTTATTTTCTATTTAATTCTAATTCAACTTAGTCTACTTAACAAACCTGAGTGTCTTGTATATATATACTGGTTGCAATTTATAAAAGTTACCCCATGACCCAATGATTCCCCTCCACTGACAATTTAAAAAACACTAAGATATATACACAGACATGGACTTGCGGAGTCATAGGTTGTGCCCATTTTCAAACCAATGAACTTATCCTTGTGAGTTAATTCTATGCACTTAGTTAGATGTTTGCATTTATCTAACTTTATCATTCTATGTATTTCCAGAAGAAGGCTTTCTAGGTTATTTAGTGTGCCATATGGCTAGAAGAGGAAGTCCCGAGTTAAGCTTGCTTGGCTTCAATTTTTCATCTGTCACAAGAATGCACACATATACACAAAGTAGTAGATGCTTCAGTATTCTGCAAACACCTCTTTCTGCTGTCCCAGGATCCCGAGGAGTAGGGACAAGGAAGAAAAGAGGATGAGTACGCAGAGTTGTGGATCTTTTACCCCAGTTCCTACCCAAGGAGCCCCATTTTAATATTAACCCATTATATTCTCATTAGATTTAATTGCCAAAAACATTGTGCAGAATAAAAATATTCTTAAGCTATTTGTTTAGATGTTTTCCAAGGTTCTTTCTAGATCTAAACTTGAAGGAAAATCATGTTTAAGTCTCTAGACCATTTAAAATTGCAACCATTGCTGGCGGCAGTGGCTCACACCTATAGGCCCAGCACTTTGGGAGGTGGAGGCTAGAGGATTGCCTAAGCCCAGGGGTTTGAGACCAGCCTGGGCTATTTGGCGAGATCTCATCTCTACAATAAATTTTAAAAAATTAGCCAGGTGTGGTGTTGCCAACCTGTAGTTCCAGCTACTTGGGAGACAGAGGCAGAAGGATCGCCTGAGCCCAGGAGGTCGAGGCTGCAGTGGCTGTGAGTTTGCCACTGCACTCCAGCTTGAGAGACAGAATGAGACTCGGACTCAAAAATCAAAAGCAAAAACAACAAACAAAAACTGCAGCCAGAATTAAAGCATGTAATGGCTTATGGAGGAGGGTTCTCTGAGGGGGTACTAGGCAATTAATGTTGGTTAACCTGAGAGTCGAGCTACTCCTGCCACTGTGGAACCTCACTTGGATGGGATGTTTTTAGAGTCTTATTGGGCAATGAGTTAGGAACATACTTGGGTTGGGACTGCTCCTTTAAGGGCAGCCATTTCTGTCTGTCATGTGGCCTTCATCTGCAAGAGGCTGCTTTCAAAAATTATTTAGTTTTCATTGTGTTTGTTTATTCTGTGAACAAGGACCTAATATAATTTTCTCTGAAACCCATTTCAGCCCAACAAACTGTTCCACATGCTTACGATAAAGCTAATTTGCACAGTAGGGTACTAGTCAGTTAAACCTTTATATTCACAGATAAGAAATGTTATTATCATCTTAATGAACATGTTTGGGTCCCCATGAGTTTATTTTTGCTTTCCCAAATATAGTAAAAGTACTTTTTCAAAAAACACCAAAAAATGGGTCGTCACTTGGTAGTAAAGTGTATTATGGGCGGGCATATGTTAATTAATTTGTACAGAATCATGGACATCTTTCCTAATAAATCCCATCCTTTCCCCACCTCCCTTGGGCCTGGATTACTGCCTCCTCTCAGATTCTAACTCCGCCCTTCAATTTGTCCTTCTTGTATTTCCTCTTCTTTAATCACTGTTTTCATCACTTCACGCCCATGCTCAGAAACCCCCAAGGGATCTTTATTTCCCACCACATCAAATCTACACTCAGCTGCCTGTTTGCAAGGCTTCTCCTAATCTGTCCTCTCCTTCTGTCTCCAGCTTTATTTCTCTTGCCAGATGTGATTCTGGTTCCTGTGGTTTAGAGATAATGGAATTTTTATACACCAAAAAATTAGAATCGGCATCATTTTTCTTAGGCACCATTCAGCCCAGTTCCCTTAAATAAAAGCACACATCAACAATTATTTCTTCCTCCCCCACAGGCCATGAGATTGAGACTGTAGGGTCCCCTGGGGGTGGTAGATAGAGAAAAGCAGTTTATGCACCACTCTTTTTCAACATTCTGGAAGATGAGGACCTGATTTATTCACTGGAGTGGTTTGTGAAAAGCTCTGCCATTTTTACAAGACAGGCAAAATGCAAACAGCACAGAAAGGGAGTATGAAAGATATTAAATATCAAACAAGGAATGTCTTGTCAGAAATTGATAAAGAGGTACCCCCTGCATAAGGGAAAATGCGGCAGATCACCAAGCTCTGAAAAAGATGCTGAAGGGCTTGGTAAATGAGAGTTAGAAAAAGGCTTACCTATTGGAGGAGGCTTTTAATGTCTGTGGATATGGTTTCGTTTCAACTTTTTGTTTATTGTCGTATGCATGTGTGCGTACTTAATGTTATTTTCTTTGTTTTTCTCTATCTCAATAAGCCCTGGCTCTTTTTCCTAGTATAATAGCTGTTTGATTTGGGGAAACTTTCTTCATTCATGAAATGGAGGTATTAATAGTATACAGTACATAGAGTCATTGTGAAGGCTAAAGGAGATAACATGAGGGGGGAGCCCAAAAAACTGGAATTTATCTATTAAAAATTGTGTATTTATTCTTACATCTTTAAACTTCAGTCACCTTCAAAGTGCTCTCCGTTTGATGCAATACATTTATGGAGACGCTTTTTCCACTGCTCAAAACAGTTTTTGAAATCGTCAGTTTTGATGCTTTTTAGTGCTTCTGCTATTTAAAAAAAAATTTTGTCTCTTCCACATTAGAAAACATTTCACTTTGAGGATTTTTTTCATCTGGGGAAATTAAAAAAAAGTCATTTGGGTCGAGATTGGGTGAATAGGGAGGGTGGGGCACAGGGTCATGACATTTTTTGGTCAAAAACTGCTGAACACTCAGTGGGGTGCAGTTGTAAATCACCCATCATGAAATGGGCATATGTGTTGAAAGAATCTCCAAAAAATTCACTGATGCTGAAAGTAGCCTCTCACAACGCCAGCTGGTACACTGATGCCAATAGATTCCTGGAACACTTACCTAGCAGGGAAGTCTGCTACAAGGTGCCTGCCCTCCAAAAAATAATTCTATCTTTTGGGGGGGTCCCACCTCATGTGTTTAAGAAGCTTAGAACATGACTCAAGAAAAGAAGTAGCTATTATTTCTGTCATCATAATTGTTTTAAGTATACATAAGCTGCTCTTCACTTGAGCAGCTACTAAAATTTCATCTTCTCTCAAAATAATGTTAGGTCAGTTCAGTTCAGCAAGCATTCAGTGAATGATCAATATATGCCAGGCACTGACGACATGCCAACAAATGAGTGAGGAGACACTGATGGTACCACCGATATAACACTGACCTTGCCTTTGAGTAGCATACCTTCTAGTAGAAAAGGCAAACCTGAACATTATTTCAGTTGTAGGGCTGTGTTGTCCGATACAGTCACCACCAGCCACATGTAGCGATTGAGCACTGGGAATGTGATTAGTCTGAGTTGAGTTGTGCTCTCTGTGTAAAATACACATTGGATTTGGAAGAGTCAGTATGATAAAAGAATGTAAAATATCCAATTAATAATTTGTAACATAGTGTTAATTATAGTATGTTAGATATTTAGATATTGGGTTAAACAAAACACAATTAAAATTAACTTTA